ATTGGTTTATTGTAAGTGGCTATTGTTTGGGACGAACAATACTAAGGAGGGGCAGTGTTGCGTCAGCGAGGTCACGTGACTAGTGTCATGCCACCTCTCGAACCTTCGGGAATAGTCGGGAGATTACTAGATATAGGGTAGTCTGATATATATATAAGAGGTTGACAACGTGACGGGATAATGTGTGTGTAGGTAATGAGTAATTGAACTGCAGTCACAGGGTATTGTTGAAGTTAACATTTGTTCGTTATAGTGTTTGTTTTAGTGCGAATGTTGAAATTAAGTGTATCGTAAAGTTATATTCAGAAAGAATAAATCAGTTTTATTAAGTAAGGACTTATGTCGTTAAAGTTTCGTTGGAACGAAGTTATGGAAAGTTAATTAACAAACGGAGACGTAACAATATACTTCAAGCTGTAAATCATTCTCTTTGGGGCTTGATGAAATTTCTCATGAAAGTCTGATGGTTTGATTAGTTATTTTATGTTTATAAATTCATAGTGTATACAGAAACCGTGACGTGCTTCAGAGTAATAAATATACTAATATCACTCCATTATCTTCAAATAAAATAGCTGTAAAAAATCATAAATTTAGCAGTATCATGTAAGTGTATAAGGAGAAAGATAATTGTTATCTCTACCATTTTGTTACTTCAAATCATATATAATACAAGTAATCTGTAAAAGTTGAAAACTACAGTAAAGAATAACTTGTAAAATAAAGTAAGAATAACTACTACAATGTGTATGTGTTTTAACACAGATAATGTGTACATGTTCTGACACAGATAATGGGTATGTGTTTTAACACAGATAATGTGTACGTGTTCTGACACAGATAATGTGTATGTGTTCTGACACAGATAATGTGTACGTGTTCTGACACAGATAATGTGTATGTGTTCTGACACAGATAATGTGTACGTGTTCTGACACAAATAATGTGTATGTGTTCTGACACAGATAATGTGTACGTGTTCTGACACAGATGTGTACATGTTCTGACACAGATAATGTGTATGCATTCTGACACAGATAATGTGTACGTGTTTTGACACAGATAATGTGTACGTGTTCTGACACAGATGCGTACGTGTTCTGACACAGATGCGTACATGTT